TTGCTAGCTTGATTTTGGCCATTGTGGGAGACTTTACATACCCAAAATTGACAAAATGCCACAGATTGTGTGGTAATATTACTGCATGATCTGTGGCATTTTATCAATTTTATATATAATATAAAAATATACATAAAATGTATATTATATATTCTATATATATAATATATATTATATATATATATTTTATATATATATATATATATATATATATTTTTTTTTTTTCCCCTGAGAAGTCACTGACAAACATTCTAACAAATCACTAGGTAGAATTCAAACCCAGGAGATTTGACTGGACAGCATTTTGGCAAAGATGGATGCTTCCAGGCCAAAGTATTGATAATAGTATTAACAAATTTCTTACTGTGTGAACCACTTTTATTTGGCTATTTTATTACTTGCAACCAAATGTGCCGTGATTTATTTTTAGCACTTTCTCATAGAATTGTTATGAGGGTTGAATGAGATGATGCATTTGGACCAGTCAGGGCAGGGCTTTACACGGTAAAGGTTAGCACTGCCATGAAGGAACACATAGCAGAGATATGGCCCTAACATCATTGGTCATCTATTTCTAGATACTTCTCTACTTTCGCAGAAGCCAATGAGTGGCAAAGTATGTTATCTGTACTTCATCTCTCTTCCACAGTCTGCAGCCCAGGGTAAAAGATAGATGAGTTAAAAAGAGAAGTCATCAGAATAATGCAGTTGTGTTAGTCTACAAACCAGTGATGCCACTTCCAAGCTCCACGAAAACAAAGCCTGAACAATTGCAAACTTATATGTACCTTAGGATGCCTCTTTGGGAGTAAGGTCAGAGTCATAATGATGGAGCCTGAATTGTGACCAAAAAGGCATCTGTAGAACATGACACCATTTGGCAAAACCCAAATCAAATTTTAAGAGATACGGCACTATTGAAGTGGTGTCATTGGTCTGGGGTAATAAGTGAGGTTCATGGTCTCATGCCAAGGAAATTGAAGATGTGGGCACGCAGGGAGTAGGTTTTAGAGTAGAAGTTTAATAGGAGAAAGAAAGGAGAGAGCTTCTTTGTGCAGAGGAAGGGGACTGAGTGGGCTTCCCAGGTTTGGGGCCAGAGTTGGTTGGTTTTATAGATGAGCTTGAGGAGGTGGTGTCTCATTTACATAGGGCATAGTGGATTGGTTAGACCAAGTGTGCTATTTACATAGTGCCGGAGGAGGGTCGCCATCCTACCCTAATCTTTTATTATGCAAATGAGGTCTTTACCTGGCCCGCACCAAGTTACCAGCCCAAGTGGCAACAAAGAAAAGGGAAGGGAAAACCACCTGGAATGTACCTGACTTCCAGGTAGCCCTTTTTTATTGGTACAGCTGCTGGCATTTACCTATGCAAGCTTCCAGCTTGCTTATCTATGCCTGCAGCTTGATTTTTCAGGCTGCTTTTTGTTAGAAAAGAAATGATTTTGGGCTGCTTGTTATTAAAAAGAAATTCCACCAAGAGCCCTTTTACTTTTAATAATTGCCTAATTTCTTTTTCTTTCCACTCCACTCCACTCCACTCCATTCCCCTCCCCTCCCCTCCCCTCGCAGCTGTGTGGTCCCTGATCTTCTCTAACCATTGCCCTCATAACCTATTGCCGTGGCTTTGGGTTACTTTGTATGTCCTGCCCTGAACACATCGAACATTTTCATGTGTCAGACTTACAATAGCACCTTCCCCTGCTACCTGCCTCTACACCTGAAGATCCAGGTGTATTCTGGTCCTTGTCCGTATCTTGAATGCAGCCCCTGTACACCCTATGTCCTATCTACCATATTTATTATTATTTGTTGCAATATACTTTCTATTTTATTTTTTTAAAGTGAAGATTATATATATATATTTTAAATGATATTCTTTTTGTTTTTTTGAGATGGAGTCTGGCTCTGTTGCACAGACTGGAGTACAGTGGCACAATCTTGATCTCGGCTCACTGCAACCTCTGTCTCCCTCATTCAAGTGATTCTCCTGCCTCAGCCTTCCAAGTAGCTGGGACTATGGGTGCCTGCCACCATGCCTGGCTAATGTTTTGTATTTTTTTGTAGACATGAGATTTCACCATGTTAGCCAGGATGGTCTCGATCTGCTGATCTTGTGATCTGCCCACCTCGGCCTCCCAAAGTGCTGGGATTACAGATGTGAGCCATTGCAACCAGCCTAAAATGAGATTCTTGAAGAAAATAATAGTGTTATCTCTGGAAGGCAAACTTAAAGTCACCTTATATTTTGCTCTTCCTATACTTATTTTCTACATTTTCTATAATACCTGAGTGATTTCTATAACCAAAAAAAAAAAAAAACGGCTACTTACAAAAGGTTAAATGAAGACAAATCTTAAATCTTAATCTCTATTCATCCAAGAAGCAAAGGACACTTGGCAAACTATTACGATCTACCCTATTTAGTGGGCTGGAGACACCAACTTTCTTTGCCTGCATTACCCACTCCATTTCTCAAGAGACATTAACAACACACCATGATTGAAGAACTAGGATGTTATGTGTTTAAAGAAAGAGGTTTAAAATATTTTATTAGAGAACACATATCAATATTGAACAACACTTAAATAGATGGCATCCATATTTATAAGGACAATATAAATTCTTATAATTTGTACAGTCACTTTCAACAAATAAATTTATCAGTGGGCATGATCCATGAAGTATATTTTTTCAATAATTTATTCATCTGCTTAGTACTATGTACATTCATTTTCTTTGAAAAGAAACGTAAAACCAACATGATTGTTTACCACATCACATCATAAACAGATAGACCTGTAAAAATGGCGTGTAGAAAATTCAGAAACACTTAAACAGCACATTCCAAGCATATTGAGTCCATTTAAGAGAAATTAAATGCTTTGAAGCCATTGTAGTCAGCCTGGGTGTCGTGTATATGCATTGATACAAAATGTTGCCACAAATTCAAGTATAACGATTCACACACATAAATATATTATGCTGACATAGAGAATGCTCCCTTGAATAGTATAGAGTGCATACCAAACTCTGCGCACGATTCAAATTAACTTTTTTTATTTTTGTAAAATGGAAGAAAAGGTAATGACATTGCCAACTTAGTCGACCAAATACCAAACCTGGAGAAGGTGGACATGGTTCACAAATGCTGCACAATTAGAATTGCACCTTACAGGGATCGTATTGGTCACAACAGTTGCTAAAGGTTACAGAAAAACTGTAGCAGCTAAAATCAGCCAGTCAGCCCACATTTGCTTCTCTGGCAACATGTAAATGCTGTGTGTGTATTTTGAACAAACGTAACAAGGAGATGAGCAGAAATGCTGCAGCAAGCCAGGAAATGTCATTGGGTTCATGGTTAAATGGTGTCAGCTTTATTTACTAAAGTATAATTTTAATTTCACAGGCAAAATGAACCTCCAATTTTTTTGTCCTTAGCCCCAGCAAGTCAAGTCCTTCTAAACTGCTAGTTGATTGAAAAAGGACAGCTTCAAGTCTGTCCCTTTTGCTTCCATTTCCCCACCACCTTTGCTCCATTTGTAACACAAGTAGACACTCTTTCTTTCTTTTTTTATTTTTGAGATGGAGTCTTGCTCTGTTGCCAGGCTGGAGTGCAGTGGCCGGATCTCAGCTCACTGCTACCTCTGACTCCCGGGTTTAATCGATTCTCCTGCCTCACCCTCCTGAGTGGCTGTGACTACAGGTGTGCGCCACCACGCTCAGCTAATTTTTTATTTTTAGTAGAGCCAGGGTTTCACCATGTTGGCCAGGGTGGTCTCAGTCTCTTGACCTCACGATCTGCCTGCCTAGGCCTCCCAAAGCGCTGGGATTACAGGCGTGAGCCACTGCACCTGGCCCCGACACTCTTTCATAAGCTTCAATGTAGTATGAGATGTGACCCTTCGATGATGTGAAAGCCAGCCTTTGGGGATATTATAGTAATTCAGTTATTTTCTCCATGTTTTTTTTTTTTGTTGTTGTTGTCGTTAGAAAAACTTGTTTTTTAAAAACATGCTGCATAACATCTTGCTAAAAACAATTCCTCAATTAGTAGTAACACTGAATTGCCTTACATATGATTTGCTTGTTAAGACATCCAAAGCATTTGGTTATTCTTAAGAATTAGGTACCTCCATTCTGGAGCAAATATTTATTTGTGTGAAGAGAAAAATAGACCTTCTCCTTTTTTTTTTTTTTTTTTAGCCTTTTTTGTCTGTTTAGCCATCCCATTGTAATGCTGCACTAAGCCTTGAGAACAAAGAGAATCGGAGGAAAAAAAGGCTTTGTGATTTTCAGCCAAGCCAAACACAGTCACTGTCAGGAGAGCCCTGGACTCACCACTGTTTCAGTGATTCTCTCTTGGCTTAAAAAAAGAGTGAGAAGAAGAGCAGTTGTGTGGTTTGCCTGGGGGGACTTGGGGAATGGGGGTTTGTACAGCCAGGTGGCCACCATGATAAGCAAGATTGCCTTCCCTGTGCCCCGAGCTGTGGGAGGAGACAGCACCCCCAGCACATACCCGAGGTTCACCAGCCCCTGGGCCTTTGCACAGATTCCTTCCTTCCTTGCCTGGAACAACTGCTTCTGTTCCCCACCCCACTGTGTCCTCTAGGATTCACCATAGAGATCACCACTTTTGAGAATCCTAACTCTGCAGCCTGTTGGGGCCCTTCACCAAGCTCACACGGCCCTGTATCAATCTGGTAGGTTCTCGGAGGGCAAGGACTCTGTCTCTGCCCTTGTTATTCTCCACTTTCTGGACTTGGCCCTGGAGCACAGTCAGCCCTCACTGAATGTTATAGCGTGAATAAAGAAATGAGAGAGCAGAGAGGGCAATAGCGGCTCTCTTTGAATGAAGGGGATTTTGTTTTGCAGCATGAGTTACATGTCTATGAATGTTCTAGAATTTGAGGGACACTAATTTTTACAAGTGAAAAGTGCCTAACTTCTTTTTCTTTTAAAAATATTTTATTCTGAAAAATTTCAAACCTGCACGGACACGGAAGAACTGTGTGTGGCCTTGTCTGCCATTCTTACTTTGTCTATCACCATGGCTTACCCACTTTTGGCAAGAAGATGTTAAAGCAAATTGTAAACATACTTCGATATGTACCTACCAGTTAAGGACAATGCCATTATCATATCTGACAAAATTTAAAGTAACTACCTAATTATCTAACATCAAATAGGACCCAGCCTATGCTTAATCTTCTCCAGTTACTTCAAAAATGACTTTTTACACTTAGTTTCAATAAAGATCTAAACCAACAAAGCTTATACATTATACTTGATGAATATATCTCTTAAGAATATTTGAACCCACAAATTTCCCTTTTTTAAAATGCCATTTACTTATTGAAGAAACCTGGGTGTCTTACGGAATTTCCAACACCCTACATGTGGCTGATGATTCTTAATGAACTTTTAAGAATGAAATGGGGGACGGAGGTTGTACTAAACTGATTTGCAAACAATCAAGCTATTTGTCCCCAAAGGCTCTTTTCTTCTTTCTCTTATCATTTATAATCATCCCTAATCATTAATTCATAATCATAATAATCATTAAGTTGCTGCTTTTCTTGCATGAGCAACAGTAATATGTTGGATTTGTGTCTTAGTCAGATGGATGCTTGATAAAGAAGTAAATCCATGTGTCAGGCAAGGCTCCTGGCTCCTGGGTTCCTGGGGTGGATTCCAAAGACAGTGGGTAGCAGGACAAGTGGTGGGTTTCATGCTCCCCTTCCTTGGGCGGTAAGGACAACAGTTGTGGACAGGAAGCTGGCTTCATGTCATGGGTGTGTGTCCCTTTAAAACACAAGGTTGACTAACCTTTAATTAATCATGCATTTTTAATATCCTAGGCATCATGCATCAACATGATTACAATTTTATCTTTCTGTAGAGTAAGAATTCTTACACCAAACTTAATGTATCCATTTTCACGAGTTCAGGCTTTGGTAGAGTGAGTTCTTAAATTGAGAACCCCTCTAATTTCCTCCTTAGCCAGACTGATTACATTCTGCTCCCTGTGAGATGATGCTTTTGGTCTTCTTTCTCCAAACATTGACAGAACTGAACACTCTTCTTTTTAATTTGGGCCAACACCAATCCGTTTATCCTTGAAGCTGCTTCTCAAAATCCAGAAGACTGAAATAGCCATAGACTGTTTATATAAGGCAGAGTTGGGCCAAGAACCTCATCCCTGAAAGTGACTTTTTTTTTTTTTTTGAGATTCGGAGTCATGAGAGACCATTTGGCAGGGAGATGGCAGCAAGTCCCTGCCAAATTCAGCCTCCAAGCATGGCTGACTGCTCCATCAGCCTGTGTCATGGTGAGCTGAGCTTGCAGTGTGGACTTCCCTGTGAAGACACCTGCCTAGGAGGCTCCTGGAGACCACTTAAAGGGCGCCCTAGAAATGTCTAGACTCAACTAGCAGAACCTGAAATTAGCACTGAGATTGTGACCTGAAGTTTCCATGAGACAGATTTCAATTTGCAGTGAAATCAAAATGGCCTCTGTTCACGTTTGGGTATTTGCTGTTTATCTTGGTAAACATTTACTTCCAACAGTTGCCCAAGCCAAGAGGTGCTCAGCCCTATTTTCTTAGATGACTTTACATCTAAGCTTTGCTTCAAATGCTGTACTGTCTTCCAGTGATCACAACTACTTCTTTTTTCCATAACATCAGTTATATAAACACACACACACAGGCAGACACACACACATTTTCTACAATGATGGCATTTTATGTAGTGTCTTTCATAGGACAATTATGATAATTTAAAATACCTCCTATTGCAAAGCAAGTAGCCAATGTGAGGAAGATGACAAACACCAGCCTTGGATACTCTTGTTCTGGGTTGTCTACGATTCAGAGAGCTCGGTGGAAATCTTCAATGTAGTGCAGTTTGCCTGATTTTTAAAAGCTAAGACAGATTTTCCAAGTGGGGCTATTTCCAACCCAAAGAAAACAGTGTAGTGTGTGGAATTACTGGGCATTGGGATTTGGTGCCTAGCACCTTCAATGTAGGAATGACAGGACCCAAGCTGTGGTGCAGCAGGTGCTTTGGGACCCGCTTTCTAATGACAGAGAAATGAATGTCTTCAGGTGGGGATGACCAACTCCTGGAAATGAAAACCTGAAGTGAGATAAAGAGCAAAGGAAAGTGAAGGACTTGTTTTCCCTTTTCCTGCACGTGGCACTTTCAGTGCTTGAAGGTACTTTACCCGTGATCTAATTTATAGTTGCGTCTTATTTAGCTAGCATTTGAGAGGGGAAATGAGGATGGAAAAAGAGTGTTAGCATTTATTGGGGGCCTACTATGATTTCATAGCTTTGTCAGCTCATAAGCGTTTCATGTACACAATTTTATCTGCTAATCCCATTTCACAGGTGAGGAAAATGGCTCAAGAGAGGCAACGTGCCTTGTTTAGGGCTACTTAAATAGGTACAGAGATGGAGACTGCAATTAAGCCCAGGTGTGTGGCTTTCAGTCCATCATCCGTCTCTGAACTGCATTTTCCAGGTCCTTCCAGTGCCCTTCCTAGCATGGGTCTTGGGGTGGCGTTGGGAAGGTCACGTTTAGCAAGCTAAGAGGTGAGCACAGGGGCACACCAGGAGAACACACAAGAGTGCGCAACTCTTTACAGCCTTTCTCTTTTTTCAAAACTCCCTGTAGACTTGACTCTCTTTACTCTTCTCATACCCATATTGTTGTATTGATTCTCTGGGAAAATATTTCTTTTGTAATGTGACTACGAAATCTCATACCTTGCCAAAAAGCTCGGCATGTAGTAGATACTCCAAAGGTATGATTTTTTCCTCTTTAAACTTTAGCTCTGCAAAAATCATCATGGATGCATTGTAGGGAGCAAAATGATTTTGCTGTCAGCATTGTTGGGATAAGTTTCTGTGTTAATACTGGAGAGTGAATTGCTTGTGACTTGTTACACCCAGAGATAAAAATAGTTTGTTTTCCCTCACATCTGATGAAGAAAGCATGTGTTTTTGATTCGGCTTTAAATGCTGAGGCAGAATTTCTGTTGCACAAATGTCAGCTCGCACTTATTGAAGTTTAGGTATCAGGCTTGTATGTGATGTTCAGAAGAGGAAGATGGGGCCAGGCAAGCTGCTGGAAATGAAGATGAGAGCAAGGAAGGGACCTCAGTTTTTACTCAATTACGTCCTAATAAAAGCTTGACTCTTTTTTTTTTAAGTATGTAGAAAACTAGCAATAAATTGTTATTGAAGTATTTGTAATGCCTGCTTTGATCTTAAAAAATAATTCACAGGTGTTCTTTTTAATAGCTTTTTACTTGTCAGATTGAATTTCAGCATTCTTATTTGTAGATTTAAACTGCTTATTCAGCATCCCATTCATCAAGTTTCCCTCCTTCTCTGCTCTTTACGACCACTGTCACCTCTGTCATGACTCCAGGACTGGGGGAGGCACTCTGGGGCATGAAGTACTCTGCCTGATGCTCAGCTTTTGAGTAATGGGCCACAGCCCTCCCATCGCTTGAGACTTCAATTAGCCTGTCTTTTCATTATGAAAGATAAGGCTGCATTTAACAACAGGAATGAAGACAAGGGAGGGGAAGAAATGCAATTTTTAAGGATAAATCAGTAAGACATTGCTATACTTATTTGAAACTGGTTTTGGATGGCTTTTGGCTTGAATAGACTGAATACTTTTGTAGGGCTTGCCTTTTGTTGTGATTTTCCCCTGTTGTTTCCAGACTGGACCGAAGCTGGTGCCTCACGTGACTCTAGACAGCCAGGGTGTTCTGATGTGATTGATATTGTGGAACCAGAAACGCTTCCAACCTGAGAGTCCCCAGGGAGGGAAGAGGGAGATAGGAGGCCACAGTGGCATTGTCTCTTGCCCAGCAAACACAACAGCAGATGCCATGCAGTTAGAACAGTCTTGATTCTTCCAAATGAGGATAAATGCGCGTCGTTTCTCAGGAACCAGGGCAGAAAAGAATATATCACTGTGTGGCTGTCAGGGAAACACTATGAGGGCAATACAAGGGGCCTGGGTTGGGTGATGAAGTGGAAATGGCATGGGATTTTTCAAGAGGCACGAGGTGGGCAGGCCAGGATGCCCTGAGACCAGGCAGAGTGGGCAGCTGCGCAGCAGGACCATCTCATTGCGCTTATGAGGGCTTAGGCTTTTAGAGTGGAAGGTGGTCTTCATTAAGACAGCTTTTAGCAGGGCCTGGCCGTCTATGTCCTCATATTGAATCCAAACAGTGCAGCTTCCTTTCCTCTTTTGTCTTTCTTAGGCTATAAGAAGAGTAGAGGAAAAACTACCTGAGGCTGTTTGGCACCCATTTTTCAAGCCAATACTGATACAGGGCAGACAGCACTGACATACCCTTAACCCACCTATCACTGGCATGGAGACCCCAGGGTGATCATAGGGCCCTCATGTGGTCCTTAATGCCCCAGTTCTCAAGACTGGGCTCTGCTGTGCTTCTTATCCCATCTTGTTCTGTCTCACCCTCCCCTTGGAGTCTAGGATCTGTCTCAATTAAGGATGAGGCTCTGCTTTCTTGGGTAAAGATGGTCTCTGGGTGAGCATATGCCCATCTGACTTACGATGTCTGGGATTCTGCACTGCTGACCTGGGGTTCCTCACTGCTGTGCTCTGCACATCTAACTGGGATCTTACTGTCCCTAAGAATCATCAGGGTCATCAGCCTGAGCCTTTCTGGGTGGATTGTCTGATGTTTCCAGGTCCCTGGGGACTGGCTTCCCAGTGGGTGTCTGTAACTAGTGGTTGGGTCTGATTACTTGCTCTGCTGTGCACCCCTCTCTCCATGCCTGCTTTGGGGCTGGAGTACTGCCATGGGCATGCTAAGTGACAAAACATTGCTGCCATCCAGGAGTTCTCCTCTAGTTGAGAAGACAGAACTTATATAAGTACTGTGTATACAAGGTATGCTTTAAAATACTTTAAATAGTTATAGTCTTTTAAAAACAACAGAAAGATTACAATAGAGTACAGAATTAACTGCCAAATATGTTCTATAGACAATTGCTATAAGAACTTGGAGAGAAATTGGGATGATCAAAAAGGGCCGAATTTAAACTTCTGATCTGGGAAAAGAATTATGGGTACATTTTGTATGGGCAGAAATGAAAGAGTGAGGAGGGAGTCCTTACGGGCTCAAATGAGTCTCCCACAGGTTCCTATGTTGAAGTCCCAACCCCCAGGACCTCAGAATCTGACTGTATTCAGCGATAGTGCCTTTAAAGGCATGGTGTGGTTAAATGAGGTGATGAGGGTGGACCCTAATCCAATAAAACAGGTGTCTTTATAAGAAATTAGGACAGAGAAATGTACAGAGAATAAACCACATGAAGACACAGGGAGAAGGTAACTATCTACAAGTTAAAGAGAGATGCCTCAGAAGACACAACCAGCCAACGCCTTGATCTTCGACTCTCCAGTCTCCATAATGGTGTGATAATAAATTTCTGTTGTTGAAGCCACCCCATTTGTTTGTTATGATTGGCCTAGGACACTAATATGGGTGGCGGGATACAAACGCATGGAGCTGTGCTGTATCTGCAAAAGCAGGAGCATACTGGTTGGTAGAAGATCCTTTATTAAACTGGAAAAGTTCCTGGGACAAGAATATGATGAGTTGGCAGAAGGACTCCGTGAACAAGTTCCAGTAGCAGATGGGCTGCTGGGGACAGGGACAAAGAGCAGAGTATCAGAAGAGAAAGAACACCCTTTGCCTGGCTGACAGTTCTGCTCAGGGTATACATTCCGATGGGTTAAGCGTTGCTCAATGCCAACATAAAACCAGGTTTACTTTATGGGATTAATCAAAGGCCTTGAAGGCCCTCAAGCATTCTTAAGAGGGGAAGTCAACAGGGAAGGAACAAGAAGGGCAAGAGACAGAAGATGCAGAAGAAGAGAAAGAGAAGCTGACTTTGCTGGGTTCAGTAGAGACTTTTGAACCATTAGAGATTGGTAAGAGGTGCACCCCTTGTGGGGCTGATAGAAATACTGCAACCACTCACTCTGACCACCAGCTCTTTTCTAAAATGTGGCTGCACGTTGTTTATACCTTTCACTTGGAAGTAATTGTATACGAGCAGAAAGGCAGCACTGCAAGCAGAGGATAAAAGTCCGTGGGGGCCTTCAAAATGTCCTCACTCTCCTGGCACCATCTCCTGCCCTGAGCTCTCTGGATGCTGTGGGCCTGCAGCTCACAGAGTCAGGCTGACCTGGGAAGGGGATGGAGTTGCTGAGGGCAGCCCCATCTTGTCACCCAGAGCATGGATTCCGTGGGAAATGGCACCCTCTGGAGCAAGGACACCCACCCCAGCCTTTTTCATTGTTTATAAGTTTAGCAAGAAGGGGAGGGTGGAATTATGGAGAGGACAGCATCAGGAAAGGAGGTGGGAAAGATGAAAGGGCTCAGGATCAAGACCAACAGGAAGGGAAGGTAGGGGAGGCTGCCATGTAGCATCATCCCAAGGTAATAGAGGTGTGATTACTGAGTGGCCTCAGTATTTCCAGGTTCTTCCATGTCAGTTCTGCACCCACCACCATCCATGCCCCACCCGAGAGCCCTGCCGTGGAGTCTCCTCTGTCAACACTGTGGACGCTGTGCCCTTGGCTGCAGGAACGGCACTTTATTTCTGATCAGGAGAGTCTTTCTCTTCCTCATTGCCCATCAGGCCTGGAGAGAGGAAGGAACAAGAAGTCCCTCCAACAAAGTGTGTCAGCTCAGGGAAACATGAATCTGGTATCCCCAGGGGAGGGCTGAATATGCTTCCCCATAGTAATATCATTTCTATTCCAGTTAGGCAAAGAAAAAGGAAAAATAAAAGAAGAGGAGGAGGAGGAGGAAGAGGAAAAGGAGGAGAGAACAATTCTGAATCCTATCTGTCTTTTGAAAATGCCCACTGTACCAAGCATACTCTCTGAACCCCATGACTCTTCTTGGTGAGCTCCAGGCAGGCCCTCAAATGCCCTGGTGTGGGGTGCCATGTCTAGGAGGTCTTCCCAAGGAGCCAAGTGTGACCCAGAGATTCTTTGGGGGGTCCTCTGGGGCCCTCCACTTGGGCAGGTTCCAAGGGTCTGGGAGAATTTCAGGTTGGCCTTGGTCAAGGGTGTGTATTTATTGTTGCTACTCTTAGGGTCAGCCAGATTGTGCTATGGGGATTTCCCAGATGGGGCAAGGAGCTGAACAATGTTGAGGCCCCCCTGGGCTCCAGTGGACCTCCCTGCTCTACAGAGGACAGCAGTGGGGTGACAGGTGCTCACCTCTTACTCTGATGCCTGCTTGGAAGGTCAAATGATACATGGGATGGGCCCACTCTGAATATGGACTTGTCACTTTATGCAATCATTCATGCAGATTGGGAACATGAATTTAGCTAAGTGGAGATGTGTCAATGGCATATTAAAAAATATTTGTATTTTGAACACCGAATCCCGTTGTTTAGCATCATCTGTGCTATACTGTCAGCTAGTAACAACACAGATCATGATGGCAAACTACGGCCCATGAGCTCGCTCTGGTCTGCAGTCTGGTTTTTTGTTTGTTTTGCTTTGTTTGAGAGAAGAAGGGTTTAGTTTTACATTTTGGAGGGTTGTCTCCCTCCCTGCCAAAAGTCAAAACAAATAAGAATGTGTGATAGAGTCTGTATGACCCCGCAATGCCTAAAATATTTACTATCTAGTCACATATAGAAAAAGTTTGTAAACTCCTAATGTACATTAAATAGATTTTTTTTCTTTTTGGCTCATCTGGGAACATCCTACCCCTCCCCCATTTATAACAATGCCTCTTGGAAAAATGCATTTTTGACTTTGTGACAGATGAACATGGACTCCATCCAGCTTGTAGGCTGGGGACTCTCTGAGCCTCTCTGTTTTTTTATGCCAAGTGCAGGGTGGGATGCAGCAGAAGTTGTTTGCTGCTGGCAATGACTAGTGTGTATGCAATGACCCACAGGCTGACCGGAAAAAGAATTATTCCCCAAACTCCCTTTGGGACCTCTGCGTTCCTGAGGACAGTAAGGTGACAATTACTGCCTTCCTTGTCATGCTGTGGAGCAAACCAAGAGTCTCCTGCCCTGCCTAGTTCCTTGGCTCTGCTGCTGCCCTCTAGGAATAAAGAACAGAATCACAGGTGCGTGTCTTTCAGGCAATCACAGAAGTAAAGACAAATATGCCCTTGGCTCCTGGAACAGTGTGGTGCTGCCCAGCCATGGCAGAGATACGACAGGAGAGAAGCTGTCAATAGAGCTGAAATTATAGGTCAGGGACAAATGAGTGAGATGTGAAAGTCAGAGTGTCAGGAAACACAGGGGACCTGGGAAACACTGAGGTGCCATGGAAAAAGGAGTCGGAGGCTGGATTTGGGGATATTGCAAGAAATCCTTAAATCTCCCACCTCCTCTTTTCTTTATATGCTAAAGTGTAGGCAATAATCTGTTTCTTCTCTTTCTACTGCACAGGGATGACTTAAGATAAGCAAAATTACTTTGACAAATATAAAGTGCTATATAAATGGACAGAAATAGTAAACTTAAGTTGGGATTTTTTGTCTTAGCTTTCTCTCTACTGCATTTGAATGCACCTATGGAATCCAGGCTTTTGAAGAAGCCAGTGCCTTCATTTTTTTTTTTTAACTCCAAATACAGTGTACATTTGCTCTTAGATTTTCTGCCTAATTAAGCCTGTAGTTTTCATAGTTTAGCAATAATCATTTCCAGCTTATAATGTGGCTTCACTGAATATGATATGGTGAGAAAGTAAAGTAATAACTCCTGAGCCACACGGAAAGGAAAGGCAATTATTTTGTCTTTTGAAATGAAAAAGCCACAAGCTTTAGGGCAGTTCCTTGCTTATCAATTGCAGCAAGGCATGACTCAACCAACCTGCTTTGAGGCAATGTCTATGGTAAATCTTCCTGCTGCTAAACCCCTCCATCCACAAACTCCACAACCTTCTTTTAGGTGAGAGAGCCAGTAACCCATGTTGCAGCAGCAAAGTAGAAATGACATTTTCCTGCATAGAGCAGATAAGGCCATTCTCAGCCCCTCTTCCACGACATTTGGGTCTGGGCAGCATGAACAAGCTAAGGCTGATGGGAGCAGCAGCAAGGGACTGGTGTCCGCTACTGAAATCCTAACTTGCTTTTGTCAGCCTAGCCCCGCAATGGTCATCTCCACTCACTCAGCTCCCAGGGACTCTGGAGGGCCGGGAGGCCATGGCTGCCATTGCTTTCTGAAGATGGTGGGCACCACAGCAGCCTGGCTCTGCCCAGCTCCCCAGCACAGTCTGCAGACACGGAGCAGGTGCAAACAGGGTTCCAACTGGGCTCCACTGGAGCTGTACGCAGGTGGTTTCATGGTTAAAAGTCCTAGTAGTGTAAAAAAAAAATCAGAGTAACTGGTGAGCATACCTCTGATGTCTCCATATTTGCCTCCTCTGCTTTCTTTTTATCTGTTTTCTTCTTGGAGAGTTTACCTCCCATCTGCTTGGGCACCCTGTGCTGATGAGCAGCGCTCTTTCCTTAATTAAGTCAACAAGTATTCATACACAGAGGCAGCATCTTTTATGGCCAAAGGACCTGAGAAGATCAGTTCCAGAAGCGATTGAGAAAGTTTGTCAAGCTCTTATTAAGTAACCGTGATCAAAGAGTGAACAATTACCTGCCCAAGCAAATAGTTCCTAAAATGTTCTCACTCCCAGGTCTTAACCATGAAACCTACTGGGCCAGAAGGTTGGGATATCCAGTTTTCACTTGTGAAAAGAAATTAGGAACAAGCAATGTCACCCGATACATAGCCATAGCTTCCAACTGGTGCCTCATTTTTCAAAGATTGCCTAGGTCTTCAGCTTCCTGGCGGTCAGCATTCTGAACCCTTTCCCCATGGTGACATCATATAATTCACATGCTTGATATGCTCCCTGCAATTCCTGGTGAAATATCTATAATACCTTCCCCTCTGTCCAACTTAAAAAAAAAAAACGGTTGGAATACAGGTGAGTGAGAGCAAGTGATGTTGTATTTGTTTTCATTTATTTTTTTAAAAGGGATGTTCTTCCCAAAAAGTGTTTCTGTGAACTGTGGTTGGTCATCAGTAACTTCAACGCAACACCCAATATGTGTCCTATCTGCAATGGGATTGTACTGTTCTTGGCCAATGTGGCCTCTTCTGCATTCTCTTACATGCCCATCTTCCCCTAACATGCCATAGTATGTCCAAGCAAGGACTTCATCACATTCCAGGCCATTAACTCCTAAAAATGTGATGGAGTCTGGTGGTTAGAAGTGTAGACACCAAACCCTTCCATGGATGCCCTGCTCTTGGGTTTGCCTGGGCTGGAGATTTGGCTGCATGTTTGCCATGGTTAATTTGGAGGCAAATCCCAAGGAAAGAAAACATTAAAAAGTTTGGCTGTGCCTTGGCATCCTCAGCACACCCAATCCAAATGGGAAAAGTCTTACCCCCATTCTTTTGGAGAAGGGGAGCTATGGAAAATGTACAGGTTCAGAATAGGGAGATGCAGGTTTCAATCATGGTTCTCCCTTGGCCTTGGGCAAGTCCTTAACCTCTCATGATAAACAGATTTTTATCTGCATAACAGGAGTAGCAGAGTTTCCAGGGAGTTTAGAGGCAATGGGTACAAAATTTCCTGCAGATTCCTGGCACACAGTAAGACCTAACAGAAAAATCTTAAGAGAATATTTATTTATCCAAACACTACCGTCTACCATGGAATATTTATTTTTGAATATTTTGTAGAGTTTTAGATTTGCTATATGATTATAAGCAGAAGCCCTCTTGGAGGAGACATGAGAGAGGAAAAGGAAAGATAACTGATGAGTAAAATGCTTTTCTGAAGTCCATGACATAATCTGGGGAAATTTTTGAATAATGAGATTCAGGGTCTCTCTTAATGCATGCAGTTTGAGTTGCAGAATAAGCTCAAATTTCCCCTATCCCATAATGTCACATTGATTTTTGTGATGTTTAGACAATCCCAAAGCAACTACTTTTTATAACACGTTAGAGAAGACATCATTACTCTGGGTAAATTCCTCCAACCCCAAATAGAAGCAGTAAACATGTGAATATAAATATGAAAATTATTTTCTGTACGGCAACAATTTTAGATATTTTTTTGGCATGCTTAAAGGTACAGAGATTTAGGAGAAATGAGCAAAAAGTAATTCAACTCATATATTGTTTACTCATATATTGTTTTGGGAGACATTATCAATTTCTTGTAAAATTGGTATATCATGCTATGGGAAAGGAAAAATATGTTAAAAGTTTACCTCCCTGGAGAGAGGGGACTGGAGAAGAGTGTAGCAAACAATTATTTACCGATGGTTTTACACGGATACAATTGTTATGGTTTTATTCTGATGACCAAAAGATTCTCTAGTTGTTTATTTTGATTAGATGTGGCATTAGTGCCAGATTTCCTGTGTTTCTAAGCTTTCCCATATCTGAAATTTAAAAGTATCTGTAAAGATGTTTAAAGATCATTTCAAACATGGAACCATAATTTATTGAAGAAAAATGATAACCAGTCTTCCCATGGGGATGTTCTTCCTGGAAGGGGGAGTGGGGCAAGTGATTTTCTTATTCAGATCCTGGGCTAAGCTCTTCTAAACAATGAAACTGATCTTTCCTATCAAGGCAGAAGAGGAGCGAGGGTTTGCATATTCACGTTCTTCTTAGACACTTGCCTCTATAATAGGATATTCACATCTGGCAGAGCTCTTATGGGACATGCAGAGAGAACAGAAGACTCTAAAAATCTGGCCAACATCTCAGTGCCAGAATCCAAGTTCTGAACACAAGGCCGAATATGTATCTGGCCAGTAAGAAGACACTCTTCAGAAAAAGACTGAAAAAACAATCACAGCCCGGGTCTAAACACAACCTATAACAAAACCCAAATCCACATGCAAACATAGCATCTATTGCAATATGAAAAGAGACTTGTTTTTTTAGAAGGATTTAAGGAAATTATCATTTTGTTGCAAGGGAAGAAGAAAAAGATGTCAAGGCGACTACTCTTGGTGTGAAGGTTACAGCTGCTTTGATTTTCTTAGAGGAAATTACCTTAATAGAGGAAAGAGGCCAGGCAAATGGTCTTTCGTTTTAGATTACTGATTCTCGAGAATTATCCCAAAAACATAAATCCGATTTAAAATTCTTATTGTGGAAAGACGGCCATATTTTAATTTTTACATATAGTTACCATCTTCATCATTAGTAATCTATAGCTTGTGCAGCCCTAATCCAAAATTCTGAAATCCGAAAGGCTCTAAGATCCGAGATTGTTTGAGCACCAACATGATGTACAGGTGGGAAATTCCACACCTGGTCTCCTGTCTATGGGTTGTAGTCAAAAATAGTCAATTTAAAAAATATTGTATAAAATTACCCTCAGGCTATGTGTACGAGGCGGGTATGAAACATAAGTGAATTCTGTGTTTAGACTTGGGTCCTATATCTGAGATATTTGATTATGTATATGCAGATCCTTCAAAATTTGAAAAAAATCTGTAATCTGAAACACTTCTGGTTCCAGGAATTTAGGAAAGGAGACATGCAAGTTGTGTACTGAGTTATGGTTTACCAAAATCTGGTATACATAGAGCAAAATACAGCATGTTCCCCAAGTTCTTGCAGAAAAGTAGGAATAGATTAAGTTGAATTGACTACTGGATCTTTTTCCTGAACAAATGGGCTTCTATCAAAAAATGTTTGCAAACTCCTGCTTTAGACAGTTCTTTTGTGATCCATCAGTATCTGTCTAAAGCTAAGCATTAGTATTTTTCAAAGTTCGGGGAGAACGTGCTTGGATTATAAGGCTCATTCCAACATGCCACGGGCGAAGCTCATTCATTATGCAATAGTGAAGCAGATGAGAAGTAATGAGAGGCAATCTTTTGCCTTTCAAAATATTATAAGCTCTGGATTTTCATAACAGAGTTCTGGAATAGGTAAGTGATTGGCCAAGAAAGGCTTTTCTAAGCCATGTTGAAATGACTGTGCAGTAAGTGAACAGCCTCTATCTTTGCAAGAAATTAACAGCCCTCCAAGCTCTTGGTCTTTAAAGATATAACGGAGGAAGCCTATCATCATCTGATCTTGGAACAGTTTACTGGATTTTTCTCTCTAGTAGTTAAATGGAAAGAACGATGCTCTTGTCTACTGTCTTCTCTTGGAAAAAGCCATACTGCCCTGATTCATTCTTTCAACCCTCTCCTGACCCAAGGATACAGAATGCTACATTCTAAGATATCATGAGTGTCCCTCACTCTCATTGGGAAATGAGGGGCAGCATCCATTCAAAGTGTAGCCAAAGGTAAACCTCACTGTCAAGTTTCCCTCAAGCTGAGAAACTGGATGTATTAGAAAGGGTGGAGTTTCAGGACTTGCTCTAAAAATAATGTGTCTGGATCTTGGCCACCATCTTATGCTCTTCCTCTCTAGGCCCTCTCCCCATAAATGTCAAATGTGGCTGTCAGTAGGTTCAGCCTGAAAATAAAATCCCCTCACTTCCATCAAGAAATAGCTCCAAACTTAGAGTGTGTGCTCAAAATATTCATGATGAAATCATAATCCTATATTTATAGTCTTTTGGATTGTGCATGAAATTCTGTTTCCCATGGTGGTTTTTGTTGAAGCGGGCGCAGAGTGAACGAGAAAGCATTAGCTGCAGGGAAATGCTGTTCAGTATGGTTCTGAACTGGTTGGTTGTGAGACACTCTCCCTCTTCCCTGCACCCTACCCGCTGCCTGATGAGGTGCGTCTACCCCCACCCCATTCCCAGAAGGTCCCCTCTTTGATTGGTCCTGTCTTGTCCTCCAGGAAGAGCTGGCCTTCCAAGAAGGAAGTGGAGTGGGTACCTAAGATTATTCCCCTGTCCTCTGCATCTTTCCTGTCCTAGACTTCCTCCCCGTTTTCACTGAGGGAGATGGTGTGGACCTTAATGGTTGGGACTTGATGGTTCTTGTCAAGGCTGGGGGTTGAGGGCCCTACACAGCAGCAGACCTGCAAAAAGTTTTTACTTCTCACCCGGGCTGTGGTGCAGGAGGATTGGTCTTTGGACACTGTAATCCTGGCAGATCCTCGGGGCATGGAAGAGAAAAATTTCCATTCACAAACGCCATCCGTCTTGGAGATCCTGTAGAAGGTCTCTCCTGATCCCACGGGGATGCGCACCATGTCCTTGTGCTGCCCTTCCAGGGCCTGGCTGGGGGGGTGCAGGGTGTAGCCCAGGGCGTGTTTGGAAGACTGCCTTCTGCGGAGACACTGGATTCTCAAGACGTTCTGAAAGGCCTTTTTGAACTCTTGGCTGGAGCATGGGTATATGATGGGGTTGATGCAGCTGTTTAGATATCCGAGCCAAAATACTATTTTAAAAACGGTTTCAGAGGGCTTGAAATCAGGGAAGAAAGACCCTGGAAGAAAACACACAGATTCATACATATTATTTGCAAGTCAGAAGGCCACTTGGCTAGAAAAACAATCAAACAAACATCTTCATAGTGTTTTTAAAATATTTAAAATGATCCCAAACCCATTGGAGTTTCTCACATTTGACTGACTGGCTCCCAAGAATGTCAACCTTTTGCGGTGTCTTCAAAGACCATTCCTACTTGGTCCATGTGTGTTATCAATTACTGGAGCAGGCCAGGTGCATAGGGCTGCATTGGCTCTCAGTGACCAATGGCTACTGTGAAGTTTTACCAAATGAAAATGTGAAATTCAGACTGAGTCCAATATGCAAAGTGTTTTGCCTAAATTGAAAAGTAAGTTGGAATCCATGCAAATAATCTGTATTAAAATTCAGTTACCTGGACATGTCCTTTATTCTCTGATCCAGTGTTGTATAAAACATACAACTTTAGTGTTGATGAATTCCTTCCCTCCTGAATATCAGAATTACGGATTTTGATGAGAGTCTCAACTTTACACAATATTGGCCTTGCCACCGTTGGACCAGTGATTCTCAATCACTTTTCCTAGATGATGCCTTTGATGTCACCCTGAGATCCCCTTGTTAGTATCTCCTGATGACTCCCAAATGAGTGTCATTTGCTTCACATTCAGGGACCTAACCAGCTTTCTAATATGATTGCTTGTTATTATTTTTCTCTAGCCAGACTCATTACACTTTTTCTCTAGGCCATTGGTCACATTTTTTGTCCTCTCAAGTTGGGCCACTGTGTCCCTGATGCCCTTTTCCACCTTCTCTGTCTACCCAAACCCTACTTGTTGACATGCACCACAGGAACCAGGCCTCAGGACCCTTCATGTCCTGCACAGAGACTGCCATGGGGCTTTTGGCAGCAGAAGAACAAAACTGTGAAGTCTTAAAGGAGGGATTATGTTCTCCAATTACTGAATTTACAAATTTTAAAAATGTTTATTAGCCTTTTCCCAGCTGCCGCCAAGATGCTCTGCCCTTCTGAGCTGAGGTTGCATTGGCGTGAGGCCCTCAGTGCATCCAGCACTAGCACTGCTCCTGGCAGCCCAGCCTTGCTCTTGTCCACACCATGGACTGTGTCTCAGAGCTCGCCTGCACTGACTCAGCCCTCGTTCTGCATAACTCTGAGGCGATCATCATAGAAGATAAGGTTAATATTCTTACTAAAGCAGCTGGGGTAAATGATGATGGTTTTTGGCCTGGCTTGTCTTCCAAGGCCCTGGCCATTGTCAAGATCGGGAGCCTCCTCTGCAGTGGCGGTGCGGGAGAGGAGGACTTGCTCCAGCAGCTGGTGGTGCACCTGCAGGAGGTCCTGCCCCTCCATCACTGCTGCCCAGGCCAAGGAGAAGAAAGTGGAAGCAAAGATAGAAGAATCTGAAGAGTCTGATGATAACATGGGTTTTGTTTGTTTGTTTTTGGGTAATGCTATTTTAGAACATGTTCAATAAAAAGCTGAACTCTTAAAAATGCTTATTAAAGAGATTGTCACAAACCTCATTGCTATAATACTGATAAGAGTGATGGATAAAGGGTATGGGACTCCCAATCGAATGTTCTTTATTCTCAGATTCTCAGATTGCCACAGGCTTTTGCTAAAGGAGCTTTATGAATTAGGCAATCTCAAATGTCCCTCTTCACTCCTTTCAGAGAAATTGCAAAATAACATCTTGATTTTCCTTCCACCTCCTTTCTTTTCTTTCTTCACTCCCAAGCTCCTTTTCCTTCTCCATGGGCTTTTAGTCACAGCTTTGTGTACAGTTGGCAGAGTGGCTTTGGAGAAGTCCTGTGATCCCTTTGGGCGTCCAGTTTTCTTATCTGAAAAAGGAGTAGGTTGAATGGAGGATTCCTAATGGCCCTGAACAGTTTTTGGTGGTGGTGTTTCAAACCTAAGGTCTTGATTTTGTCTTCCTTTTCCTCTCTGCTCTGTGGACCTATCAGCGTCGTGACAAATTGCTGGTGCTCTTAAAATCTACTCTGGCAAACAGTGCTCTGAAATTTAGTCAAAAAGTGCATCAGTATAAACAAAGAGTAAACTTAAATACTGAAGAACCCAAAGAAGACAAAATAGTGTGGTTGCTGATGGGAGCATTTATTACCTCTGAAGCGAGTGTTTATTACCTCTGAAGCACACTCCCTGCTGAGTTCCGTGTGTCTCAAATTCACACACACACACATGCAATGGGTGTTTATTTAGGAAAAAAACATGTTAACTGAGAAAGTTTTAATTTTTAGCTCTAAAGCTTTTAGTGTTGTCCTATAATTATAATAAAGTTTACAGTCTTTCAGTGTCTGATTTAAGCCAGGCAAGGCACTGTGCTGAACACTTTCCATATGATTTAATCATCATGAGTAACAATGAAGAGTTGTGACTCATATCCATATCCCCATTTTCCAAATGAACAAATTGTGGTGTAGTAAGTTTGAATAGCTCAGCTGAGGTCACTCACATAGTTACTGGTAGGCTTGAAATTGGGCAGCATGATTTCAGGACCCATGCTCCTTTATGTAATCTCCAAATATATTGGAATAATATATCTCTTAGGAGAGAGGATGGCCTATGGGAAGTGATGAAGTATGTAGCTGGGGGAAGCCAAATAGAAGGAAATGCTTTTCTGAACCTCATCTGTGATGGAAAAAAAATGGTTAATGCCAACATGACTAATGGTTTTGTGCAAATGCAGTCAGTTCCAGGAATAAATTTGTCTTACATTATGATACCTATATATTGTCCAATATTTCCTCCTAACAGTGACAGTGATGTGATTATGGAAACCCATTTCACAAAGACCTTCCTGGGCCTGTGCTTAACGACTGCAAGAATGTCTGAGCTGAGCACACCAAAACCCAGCTTGTCTGGGAATGTCACCACTCTGTAAATCAGCGAGGGAAGGGAGGGTCTTTTCCTTATTGAAGAATTTCAATTTTTGAAAAAGAAAATAAATGCACTATGAATATGCGTGCTAGTAAATACGATTTGAGAGTCTTGGGACTTCCCACAATTCCTTTAAGGACACTCATTCTGCTTCAGAGCCCAGTTTTACACTCATAAACCTCCACATTTCCTTTCAGTCACTTCCTTTCCATCCCTTCTTTCCTTGTGTGGCCTCCCTCTTAGTTGCAGGTCTGGCTGATCCAGAGCCAAGCTCTTGGGCCCTCTCTGTCGTCTCTTGCTGTGTTCCTGTCTTCACAGGTGAATCCGGGCCTCGCCCTTTCCATACCCCACTTAACACACTCATTTCTTCAATGTGGCTCAGGTATAAGTATAGGGTGAGAAAGAGAGTTGGTTAAAACAAATTTTCACTAAGATCTGAATGTCAGTTACTCTGTAGCCCTAACTCCAGGAATATTTTATTTTTAACCTAAGCAAATCTCTAGATGTTGGATTTTCAGACAGTGAGTGGGAGATGCTTCCAGGCCAGAGACCTTCCCATAAATGACAACGTTTTATTTATCCCATTAAGTGTGTGACAGCAGCCAGATGTGTGTAAGCATAGCAGGGATTTGGATGCTCCCAAACTGACAATTCCACCAGGGGCAGGTTTCAGGATCCATTCTCATGCTTGGAGTATTCTTCCCTTGTGAAGGGGAGTGCGTGGGGGGAGCCATGTGATTTTCTTTGAGCAGTTGCTGACTAGCTGGGGTTAGGGGAGATACTCATAGCTGTGCTTCCTTCAGGAACTTTCCAAAGAGTGAGAAAAGACAGCTAAGGTGCTAGGCACATTGGCTCATGCCTGTAATCCCTGCACTTTGGGAGGCCGAGGTGGGTGGATCACTTGAGGCCAGGAGTTTGAGACTGGCCAATGCAATATGGTGAAGCTCCATCTCTACTAAAAATACAGAAATTCGCTGGGTGTGGTGGCATGTGCCTGTAGTTCCAGCTACTTGGGAGGCCGAGGCAGGAGGATTGCTTGGACCTGGGAGGTAGAGGTTGCAGTGAGCCGGGAGTGTGCCACTACAGTACAGCCTGGGTGTGGGAGTAAAACCCTGTCTCAAAAAAAAAAAAAAAAAATGACAGCAAAAGGGCTATTCCCCTCCTTATTGACATTATTCCCAGCCTCATATCTCTTCCTTCATTTTTCCTCTCCTAGGAAGGAGAGATGGGGCTGGAATCAGGCTTGGAAAGCAGCTGCCTGGTCCCAATCAGGGTTCCCTCCTCCTGTTCTCATTTTCTCTGCCCAAACCTTCCCGCCCCAGCTCCCTTTTCTCTGAACTCTGCATTAGTTCTATCTCCAGCCTCCATCCTTCTCAAATATCTTTCTTTCTGAGGACTGGCAGTGCCTTTTATGGTGGGAGGACAGCTGGAGAATGCGTGTCCCTGGCCTCCACCCATCAGGACCTAGAGTGTCAGGGCTGAACCAGCCTGGTTTATGGGTGGATCCCTTGACCCCGTCACTGGGTGGGGAAGTCCATTTGAGCAGCCATCTGTCCGATCAGCTTTGCTCTCTCCCGAAGCTTCAGAATCCAGTACAATGCTGGAGTCTTGAAGGCATTTTCCGAGTTTTTGCTGCATGAATGGCCGACCTTCAGACTGACTGACTGGCTGACTGAATGACTGTGTCTCTGTGTTCTTGCCATAGCTCTGCTTCACAGTGTGGCTTGGTTTTCTTCTCTGCTTGACAGCTTAGCCCCATACTCTCTCCCAACCCTGCCTTCCTTCAGCTGTCTCATTCCCTTTTTTTGCCCACCATTTCTTTTCGGCCATCTTTTTTTTTTTTTTTCCTGTAATGTTATTTCACTATCATTTATTCCTTGTTCTATCATCTGGCATCAGAACCTCTAGTTTTTCTCGTCCTGCTTCCTAGGAAGAGCCAGACTTCTGAATCACCCACATAATAAGATTCCTGTTTCTTTGGAAATAAAATACCAAAGCATAGCTATAATTTTCTCCTTGACAATCTCTGCCTCAAGAGGAGCCAACAGGTCCTGACTTAATCCTGGAGTACCTTGCCGTGCAGTTTACGCCATCCTTTG